CTCCAATATGATTTCAGCAGCCGAGAAGAAGGATATTTTTGATTGGCACCCCTGCATTTGCCATCTGTTAAATACCGCAGTCAAGGCCGCTTTCCAAAATGTTGACGAGTTTCAGCAGCTCATGCAGCCGCTTCGCGAATTGGTAACTCATTTTCACAAATCGCCCACTGCTTGGAGTGTTTTCCGCCGCGTGCAAAAGAAGCTGCTAAAGGAGGCAGGGGCCGGCAATGTATCATCAGATGATGAAGAGGAGGATTACTCGGGTGTAAGGGAAGATGATGATGTTGCTGTGTTGCCCGATGATCCTGATGCAGATCTGACGGTGCCTGACAATGAAATGGAGCAGGCTTGTCCAAAGCGAATATTGCGTCTGGGGACTTGGTGCCCGACGAGGTGGAACAGCATGTATTTTTTGATTAAGAGGGCGGGTTTGTTGGAGAGAAGCATCCGCGAGTATACAGCAAACGCGAGAATTGCTAAGATCATTATACCAGCATCTGGGTGGTGCATTTTCAAACAAGCGCTGCCAGTCCTGGAGTGTATACGGGAATTGTCTGAGCGATGTGAGGGGGACAACTACATCACCATATCGGATGTCTTATATAATGTACTGAAGTTGCTTTACGACCGGCTGTATGTCAGTGACACCGATGCACACACAAAACCTGTGTTGCATGACTTCGCCTTTGAGTTCACACAGAAATTGTGTGCGGATTGTGATAATGTCAATCTAATATATTGCTGGGCATTAGCGGTGGCTGTGGACGGAAGGAGGAATACATTGCACTGGATGAGGAGGATCTGGAACAACGCTGACGATTGGCCGAATGTGGTGGAAGAATATGACACCCTGGCAAAGTTCCAAGCGATGTTGAAGAAAGAGATGACGGCATTGGTGAGTTGAGGTCTGATTTGTGGCCTTTGCCTTTGTGAATGTCTGCATCCAACCGTTGATAGTTTTTGCTTGTGTGAATAACAGCATGCATATGACTTCTGCAGTTGAGGCACGTGGTGAAGGCGCCCGAAGTCCAATCCTCGGGCTCATCATCCCAAGAGGTTGCAGCACAGGCTGTGCAGCAGAGCTGGCTTGACGCGGCATCACCCCCACCTAAGGGACCACTAAGTTTCCGACGATCAAAGAGGAGAAGACGGGCCCCATCCTCCCCACAGCATATGGACCCCATCGAGGCCGAAGTCGAAAGGTGGTTTGAATTGAAATGGCCACCAGCATGTGAGTATCAAAAGAAATGGAGTGCAGGGGATTGGTGGCGAGAGAATCATACCAGCTTCCCCTTGGTGGCCAGGCTTGCACGTCGAATACTAGCAACACAGGTGAGTGGTTGAGTACAACTGGCTGTGCATACATGCCACAGTGCTCTTATGAAGTTCACAGGCTGAGAAGTACTGAGTATTTTTGGTTGTGTTGCAGGCCTCCAGCGCCAGTAGTGAACGATCTTTTTCCAAGGCCGGTCTAATAGTTCGGGCCAAGCGCATGGTTCTCAAGCCCGAGAACGTGGATCATTTAAGCTTGCTAGGGTGGTAGATGGCAGAGAGTGGATGGTCGCAGCAGAAGCTAGCGCATCGACGCACGAAGGGGGGGAAGGGAGGGAAGGGAGGGAAGGGAGGAAAGGGAGGGAAGTAGTGACTTTGGATTCCAAAGTTTGGATCACCACCGGTGACCACCCTCGTTGCCCCGGCGTGGAAACTGTGGAGTACCGCCGCAGCAAGGGTGCGGTTACCATAGAGATAGAAGATAAGATATCATGACTTATAATATTCCGTTGTCCTGTGTTGATGTGCACACCTTGAACACACTATGTTGAGTGGTGGATGAACCTTGGGTATCATATAGATAGAAGAAAATTTTATTCAAGAAATGCGTCCCAACAGATACTGCGATTGGTGGATAGACTTTACAGTCGCTGCCCTGGCGTGGAAACTTCTAGAGTACCGCCGCAGTGAGGGTGCAATAGGTAGAGATGGACGATAACAAGTAACGACTCGTATTATTCATTGCCCGTTTTCATGTGTTGAGCTATTGAACTTCGACGGACTATGTTGGATGGGCTTTACACTCGCTGCCCTGGCGTGGAAACTGTGGAGTACCGCCGCAGCAACCCATCGTTATATGTGATACGTATCACCCATTCCCAAGTATGTTGAGTGGCTCAACTGTGTTCAGTGGTGAACCCTCTTTGCCGCCTGCCTCAAGTGATGTGGGTGTTTGTGTGTCCGCGTTTGGTATTGCAACTATGCCCAACCCTTGCTGCAATGGCCGGGAAGACTTGCAATGGGAGTGTGGTGCGCACTGCGTACTATGCAGCAGTACCAGCCGCAGCAAGTGGTGTAGGTTGGCATGCCATACATTGGAACTTTACACACGGCTTGTGTGTTGTTCAGTTCTCCAAAACACTCCATGTATTACAAACCGCAGAATACATGACCTGGAAAACGCCCACACACGTTTATGAAGCGTGCAACCAACACAATTCGAGCTGCTGCAAAATGGAAACCCCTGGCAGCTTCGCCTTGACCTTGCCGTGGCTGGAAAGCAAGTACCTACGGGACAGAACGGACCAAAATTATGAATCCACGGATGTTTTGTCGCGGACCGGACGCCGCGCACGCCCTCCGTTAATTTAACGGCAAATAGCGGTGAAGAAAAAGTGAGAGCCGGATTCTGCGGACAGCAGTACGGCAAACAGCGGACCGGATGTTACCGGACGAATATCACACTCACTTTTACGAACCGGACGCAACGGAGCGGACGGTACCCGAGTGTGGCCACCTCTAGTGTACATATGGACAGTACATGCAGACTTAGAAAGTACGAGGATTGGCAGCCAGACGCGCTGGAATGGGTAGAAAACGAACTTGTGTGTTCCTTGCCACTGCTGCCCTTGCCGAAGGCGAGGTGGACTCTGTGTTGCGGGTGTTCGAGGGGACACAGGACTGATCGTTGTGCGCGTTTTTCATCGTGCAACCTGTCACAACGAGTCGTGAAAATGTAAATGCGGCCGTAAAAAAGCCCCTTTCGCAAATTCGCATTTATGAGTGTAAAAATCTGAACGCAAAAACGTAATCGTAATTGTAAATAACAAGCCTGGCTGTCTGGATCTGGTGTCTCTTTTGGGAACCGATTGAAGTGAAATGTGCAATTTGCTGGTTGGGCGGTGATCTACAAACGGATAGCAACATGCAACTATCGGATTTTGTGACATTGTCATTTTGGAGAGGACGAGCATTTCCACATCGCATGCTCGTGGCCGTGGAGCACTTGGCTGGGATGACCCCGATTGGGACAAAACGGTTCGAATAGTGACAACTCCAGCCTTTCCATGTTAGACGCCCGCATTGTTGTCTGACTTCCTTGCAACAGGAACTTGTGTTTCAACACAGTGCAATGCACGGGCCCATTCACAAGAGGGGCAATCCAGAGATAACTTTGTCCGTTCTGCTTCCTAATATAGCACTATGTTGCATTCAGCTAACTAGGATCTAACAAATGTTCACAGAGAACTGCAAGCAAAATCAAAGAACAAAAAGCGATGACAAGACGACATGAAACAACCCTTACATAGACTCTACCGTAAAGCGTGTTGCGCTTAAATCCACCACGGTTTATACTGAGTGAGGAATAACAAAATAAGGAATTTGCTCCTCTTTCAACCCACAGGCGACACAGGGTGCTGCCCAAAGTGCAAGTCCCGTCCCCAACGTGTTTCCTCCTGTTCCCAACAAACATCCTAAAGCGGAAATTTCCTGATATAGTAGGTTGCTATTGACAAAGCAGCCTTTGTTTATTTCTGTGTTTTGTAGACTACAGTTTCTACGTGGTGCAAATGGGTAGCCTTGGAACAATGAACAAATGGAGAGTGGACAATATTTGGATGTCCCAGTGTCCGTTATTGACTTCAACCTGCAAGACCATTGCCTTTGAGACGATTCTGGACCAGCACAGGAACCGTCCAAATGCTGGCGGTGTATGGTGACCGCAAGAACTGGCCGGAAATCGAATAGCCTTGCCCTGATTCCTGATCAAAAGAACTTCGCAATCCAGAGCACTGTCAGTTGATAATACTACTGACACGGGATGGGTGATTTTTTTGATGGCTCACATCAGCTCGCTGCTCTTTATTGCTGCCTTATGCGCACCTAATCGCTTGGCTACCAAGGCAGATGTTGGCCTTGCAAGGCATCGTGGATATCCATTTCTATGTTCATCCTACATATTAATGCCTATCCTGAACTCCACGGACACTGACAGCTGCAAATGCCCGAACCGCAGGTGTTGCGCGATGGGGCCGTGACAATGACATCAATGCTGCAAGAAGTGTTTCACCCTCATGCTCGGAAACTCCCCTTGGGAACCAGAAACCGAATCAGTCCATGGGGCCCAAGACGCCACAGCACACCCAAGGGGCTTGCGATCCTGGAGGGAAGCTGGTTTACCTGTACGCGTTCGCGCCCTGTCACACTTTGGACGCCGGCCTTACTGCGACAGGTGCCACCTCCCCAGTCGTGGGCGAGCCCCACCCCCCTCCCCACCTGCACTCCCCACACGTCCGGCCAGCCACTCCGAGCGAAGGGTGTCAGACGCCCAGCCGGCGCCGTGCGCCGGCCTCGCCCTGATGCTTCCGCGGTGGCTGGCCGTCCTGAACATCTTGTCAGCAGTCGCTCTCGGCCTCGCTCGCCCGGAGGGCACCTGCAGCGTTCCATCCCCAAGCTACCGCCGGACGCAGGCACGGCCCTCCACCCCTTCTCACGACCACCTCGATGCGCCTCGCTTATGGCAGCATCCCATCGGCTAGACGGCCATTGTTGACTTTTATTTGCCGTCTTTTCGATCATGTGCAGGGACGGTGCTTGCCCGCCGAGCTCTGCGGCGCTCGCGGCCGGCGGCCGGTCCGTGCCGCCCGCGCCGGGGCGCGGGATCGCGTCTCTGCGTCCTGGTCCCCTGTCGAGGCGCAGTACATTGTGAGGTTCCACGAGTACCGGCGCGCCGAGGCTCAACACCGCCTGCTTGCACAGGGCCTGGGGCCCGAGGGCGAGGCCTGGGGCTGGATCCGGAGGAACAACAAGGCGGCGGAGTATCCCACTGACTTTGGGCTGATACGCGTGGCCCCGGGGGGCTATGAAGCCCTCAAGGTGGGCCGCAACTTGGTGTGACCCGTGCTGATGAGTTAGGCTCGGGGAGTGTGGTGCGACGGCCACGGGTTCGAAGACAGCAGGATGGAGCTGAGGCGCGTCTGTAGACGGAAATCCTCGCCCTTGTGGTTTCCCGTCGACCACCTCCGGTGCACTGTGCAGGTTCAAAACTGCTCAGCAGCAGTGGACGGGGCTCCAGACACCCAATCCAAGCGCGATGAATCCAACAGCATTGGGTCCGGATCATGTGGTGCCCAGGGCATCGACGCAGTGTCCTTTTTTCCCTGGCTGCTCCTGGACGATGCAGACCCTGTGGGCTACTTGGCCGTGAGGTTGGAGGCTGCGTAGTCTTTTGGAGCAAAATGTTGCCTAAAAATCTCCACTGTCATGTGTGTGTCCATCTCATGACCTGTTGCGTGCTTCACTGCACCCGTTGTGGCAAGTGCTGCCAAACTGCCAGAGCCGCCAGTTGTCAGCCCCTTTATCCGTCACTGCTCAGCACAACTGACCCAAACCCTGTTGCAACCCAACAGGCACGCCTTCAGGAACTGTCCTTTGTGAAGGATGTACACCCTGATTTTCAAATCACCCGTGCGCTTGCCTGGGAGAGCTATCCTGATGAGGAGGATGCGGGGTGGGCTGGTGGCTATGGGGCCTTCCATGGCGAGTGCGATGGCGACACAGTAAGGAAGTTCCCTGGGAGGTGAGAGTGCAAGGGATAGGGCACGCTCAAATCATTGTCTCTAGTTAGGTGACCTGTCAGGGCCCTCAGAAGTTGGAGAGTTTGTTGCTCTTCTGAATGGGTGTTGACTCACACAAAGGGTTTCCAAGTCGCAGTCCAGCGTGTTTGACCACGATGCCAATTACGTTCAAGTGTGCTTGCCCATCCAGGGCTTAGGCTCAACGTGATACCAACGTGGATATCCTGTTCCACTTCCCAGGCTGTTGGACCTCAGGCATTCTCCGGCACTTCATGACTAAAATGTGGGAAAGCCAAGTCCATGTGGTCCTTGGCGCTGCAGCTTCCCTGCATTTCTCTTCAGATTAACTTGGGAAACATTCGTGATGGCTCGATGCCAATGTGTTTGTACTGTTGAAAATCGTTCACTGTTGCACAGGCTGCGAACAAGGCCAACCATTGGACTTGACAAAGACGTAGAAACCTACAGTGACAGTCAGTCTTCCAGTTTCTTTTCTGAAAGCCACCGGAAGCTGCTGCTCATGGACAAGTCCCACTCTCTGACTGGACTGTTTGAGGTGCGGGGAAAAATCTTCCACACCCTGCTGTGTAAATGGGGATAATGCACATATCTTCCCCTGCCCCTTGTTTCCCTGCAAGTTTCTCTTTCTTGCCTTCCCCGTGCTTGCCCCCTGGAACACTGCATTCAAAACCTGTCCTCTCGCAGGCAAACAAAATATACTCCCTGGGCTACACAGGGCAGAATGTCAAGGTTGGTGTATTTGACACTGGCGTCCGGGGTGACCACCCCCACATAAGGAACATCAAAGAGAGGACGAATTGGACACATGAGCCAACCCTTGATGATGGCTTGGGCCATGGCTCCTTTGTTGCTGGTGTCATCGCAAGCTCCGATGATGGGTGCCCCGGCTTGGCCCCCGATGTGGATCTGCACACATTCCGGGTCTTTACCAATGACCAGGTGTCCTACACTTCCTGGTTCCTGGATGCATTCAATTATGCGATGGCAACAGAGATGGAAGTGGTTAACCTGAGCATTGGTGGCCCGGACTACTTGGACAGGCCATTCGTTGACAAGGTGAGGCTGGCCATGCAGTAGGTTGGAGGGAAAGGTTGATCAGACTAAACAAATGGAAAGATGGAGACACGTCTTCTGTCATACTTGGATTGGATGGAGCTGCCCTGCTGTACATCAATATGTCTCCTTCCTGTGTTCAAGCATGCCCGCAAGATATGATCATATTGCCTCAAGGAACCAGCCTTGTTCTTGTTCATGCCGAAAGTCAGGGCATGCTTGGCGTCATGAAGCATTCACCTGTAGGTGGACATCGGTTTGACCATACAATTTGTTAGTTGTTGCAGTAGTATATGGCAGTCAAGCAATGGACTCATCCTCCAAACCAGTAGTTGAGATTGCGTTTCATCTGACTGCACTGCCTTGTATGTAACCTGAATCTCCCGGAAATGCATGCAGCAAATGAAAGTGCAAGAAAACAGAGTGGCTTGTGCACAAGGGCCCTGGCAAACAGAACAATCCCTTATTTTTGCAGACTATGGGACTCTGCCCTGCCATATGGCAGCTGGGTGCATGAATTGAGTATATGTTAACAGGAAACGTGTTGCAGACGGTGACGTTGTCACCTCTCCCTCTAGACCAAGCAAAAATACCTTTGTATGAGACAGCTGCAACCTCAAAAAGTCAGTCATAACTTGGGCAATGCTGGCCCTTTTGGGGACCATGTTGGTTGTGCACACACTGGAAATTGCCGATGGACAGGGACATCCTGCTAGTCAATATTTGATCAATATGTGATCTGATGGGGATCACCAGACCACATCCTCAGGCCTGCAGTGTTGCTCAGGCCATTACTCTGTCATATCACTGGAGCAGCACTTGAACCAATGTTGTGACACAGGACCCTGCAAATGCACCAATAGTCTGAAGTTCAAGTACCTACACATGAAAAAGGCCCACAGGAGCCCCAAGGAAAGTCAAGAAAAGGACAGAAAAGCAAAGAACTGTGAAAGACACAAGGGCCGACGGATAAACCAAAGTGTGGCCACAAAAGAACGATGTGTGATGTGCAGGTGTGGGAAGTCACTGCAAATGGCATCATCATGACTTCAGCCATCGGGAATGATGGGCCGTTGTATGGCACATTAAACAACCCTGCCGATCAAAATGATGTTATAGGGGTTGGTGGCATAAGCTTCAAAGACAAGATTGCCCATTTCTCATCACGGGGCATGTCCAGCTGGGAGTTGCCGCTTGGGTATGGCAGGATCAAGCCGGACATCATGGCCTATGCTCAGGACGTGCGAGGGTCGAGAATTACAACAGGCTGTCGGAGCCTTTCAGGTAGGCATGAGTCTGCTAGCTGCTTGTGTGTTTCAAGTTCGTGCAATGTGCTGACGGTATGCCGATTATGTGGAGGCATTTGGGATATGTTTTTGGTTGCATCTGCATGATGGCCACTGGAAATGTAATGTAATTCTTCTATGCGAAGTCTGAAATAGAGATGTTCTCTTCCCCTGCAAATTGCCAGATGGATGTGGTGATGGCATCGTGTGGAATTGGTGCTTTGCTGGTGTTCTTGTTGAAAACTTTCAAGCATTGCTCTGTGATATGAGTGCATGTGCTGTTCTGGGATCATTTCCCCCTGCCAAATGCCCTGCACATTGCCGACCTCCAATCCCCACTGCCTCTTGTGTTCTATCCCTTAGGACTGGCTGCCACACATGCTGAGCCTGCTTTGCTGCACCTCCCTTACCTGTGCCAGGCACCAGTGTTGCTTCCCCTGTGGCCTGCGGAGCTGTGTGCCTACTGGCCAGCACGATCCCCAAAGAGCGGCGCTGGGATCTGCTGAACCCTGCCTCCATGAAGCAAGCCCTGGTACATGGGGCTGAGAGGCTGCCGGGTCTGAATATCTATGAGCAAGGGGCGGGGCGGGCCACCCTCGCCAAGTCCATGGCCTTCCTCCAGGATTACACACCCCAGGCATCGCTGATCCCTGGTGTGTTGAACTTGACAGACTGCCCCTACATGTGGCCCTTCTGCACACAACCCCTCTATGCCCATGCCATGCCAGTGAGTGGAGGCCCAGATTGGGACCAACATAGGGACTCTGACCAGTGCTGCATCCACTGCATGCCATCTACTGGTGGCTTGTTACTCTGTATGCTGCGCTCTCATGCTCAGCTGTCATGACCACTTGACCATCAGATAGTCTCTGCATGTGGGGATGCTGCTGCATCTGTGTCCCTGACCTTTGGGGCAGCACGTGCTCGGGTGCAGGGATGGTCACAATTCTTCGAAAGCCGCGCCCAAGGTTGATACGTTGGCTCTTGCCTTTTGTGTGGTTAGTGGAGTGGACTGTGCACGTCCCTGCAGCCTTTTGTGTGTACAGCTGACAGTTGCTTGACTGCAGGTCATGATCAATGCCACCATCCTCAACGGTATGGGTGTAATAGGGCACCTGGAAGGGCCCCCACGATTCGAACCTGCTGATGTCGGTGGTCACTTCGTCAACATGCAGTTTGAGTACAGCACAACATTGTGGCCATGGTCTGGGTACTTGGCAATTTACATTCGGGTAAATGCAGATGGACAGGACTATAATGGGCAGGTAAGGGGAGATTGGGTTGTGAGCAATGTTGACTTGATGGGGAGCATTCACCTGCAGTTGTTGGTGCCACTATGATTGGTATATGCGCATGAGCACAGCCACCAATGTCCATGTCCTACATGTAGTACATTTACCATTGCCCATGGCAGGGCCAAAGTCTCAGTAGTACCTGGAAGCCACAGACCTGGGCCCCAAAAAAGCCACAACATTGGGATAGTTCCCACAGCACAACAGCCCTAATGAAATAAGACCTCTTATGTTGGGTACTGTAGGAACAGAAATACTAATCCAAGGCCATGAAGGGATGGGATGGGGTCTCAAGAACGTGTAGTCAAAGCCCACAAGTGCTGCATGTGCTCAGTTTCTGGCAAGGGGCTGTTGGAGTTGTCAAGCCTCGCACAGGCGCACACACACATTCATTGGAAGGAAAGAAAAAGAATTCCATCTGTTCAATGCAGAAACGGCACAGTTTCATGTGGGACAAGACACCTTCTGCTATGGACACACACACACACACTACCATACAGCTGAAGTATGTGACGCACAGTGTGCAATGTAATGTACTGTTTGCGCTGTGAGTCAGTATCTTCACGATGTTGTACAATTAGGCAGTATTCATTCCTTTTATTTTGCTCTCGTTTGAAAGAGGACAGAGGCAAATCATCTCATTTGCCAATATGCCAGCAGTCGAAGACAAGCCTTCGATGAGCACTCTGCGCAGTTGTCTGTAACGGAATGCAGGCTTGCTTCTGCATATTCACGAATTGGCAGTATCACCAAGACATACTGGGCTATGTGGCCCTCAGCCTGATCCAGGTCCTGGAATGCTGATGGTGTCTATCTGTTGCAAGCCATGCACTGAGCTCCCCCACAACAAGCACTGTGGACAGTGTGGCGTGCTTCGGCCCAGAAAATTGTCTATTCATGAAGTGAATATGGCCTGCCACAGTCCAATAACCCCTGAGCGATGAAGGGCACAACTTGGTTGCCTTTGGATTCTTGATGTTTGGCTGTTGTGTGCTTGCACCTCAAGGCCAGCGGAACCATCGTGTTCGATGTCTCTTCTCCATATCCTGGAGCTGGGGATCAACGTCAGTCCTCCACTGTTCGAGTGCCATTCATAGCCAACGTGATCCCCACACCAAGCAGGGAGCTTCGCGTCCTCTGGGACCAATTCCACTCAGTCAAGTATCCACCCCAATACCTTCCAAGAGACAACTTGGACATCAAGAACGACATTTTGGACTGGCACGGAGACCATCCGCACACCAACTTCCACCAAATGTTCAATTACCTGGTTGAACATGGGTATTATCTGGAGATTCTTGGATCCCCATTCACTTGTTTTGATGCCTTACAGGTGATATATGATTCCCATTGAAGAGGACAGTGCCTGGGGCCCAATTGATGGGCTTTGTGCCTGATTCAGTCAGTGTAGCACTGTTGCATGTTCAGATTTATCTCTTGGCATTATTGCTGTTGACAAATTGCACGTTCGTTTTCCTCAGTCACTTGTGCTTGCCCTTGTAATTGAATAACTGCTGAAATGTTGTGTGCTGAGGCTGATTGTACGTGCTGCAACATGGAAGACATTCGCCCAGTAGTTATTGAACAACAGGTGCCATCAGTGCATCAGTGTATCAAGGTTTTGTGTTCATTTGTGTGCTTTCCAGTATGGAGCTCTGCTGATGGTGGATCTGGAAGACGAGTACTATCCCGATGAGATACTGAAACTCAACAGTGACGTTCGAGAGAAGGGCTTGGGTGTGGTGGTCTTCGCGGAGTGGTACAATGTGGATAATTTGGAGAAGATGAGGTTTTATGACGACAACACAAGGACCTACTGGACGCCCGCCACGGGGGGCGCCAACGTACCTGCCCTGAATGACCTCCTTGAGGACTTTGGCGTGGCTTTTGGGGACTTGATCCTATCTGGCAACTTTGAGCTTGCAAAACAGACTGTGCGGTATGCATCGGGCGCAAACCTTGTAAAGTTTCCTGAGGGCGGATTCCTCCATTCCTTCAAGCTGGGTGGCAAGGCCACTGGCAGGTGTGCTTCAACTTCTGAAATTCTGAGTAATCTCAACTATGCTGTTCACATTCATTCCGTACGATGCCAGCACAAAAGCTTTGCAAACTGTTGTTGGTTCTTTTTCCATTTAATCTCTCACATTGGCGTCGGTGCATTGTTGGCTAGTATCAATATCGGCTCGTCGATGTTGCCAGCCCTTGTGGTCTTGGTGCTGGCTCTCGTCGTTGGAGAATTGTTGATCTGTGTGATCGTTTTTTCTTGCTTTTCTCGTTATGCGTGTGTCTATGTGTTGCTGGCGAAGAGGGATAGGTTGTCTAGGGGGCTCACAGGCTGTTTTGTTGGTGATGCAGTTACTCATCCCAGCTGCATCCAGTGTTGGGCCTCACATCAGTTGGCGAGGGCCACGTTGTGGCCTATGGGGACTCTGGCTGCCTGGATGGCAGCTACCAAGTGTCTGACTGTTATGCGATGCTGAAAGGCTTCCTTGAGTACTCCACAGGGAGGGTGGACCTCACAGAGTCAAGCGAGTACCTGTCGGCCCTGCTGGATCCCAACCTTCGCCTGGAGACAGCGCTAGGGAGCGATGATGCTGAACTGCCAAAACGTTTCGAGGGTGTGAATTTTACAGAGGCGTCTTTTGTGCTGCGGCACCCCCTGACTTGTTACAGCAATTCCCCTGGTTCTCCAGACTTGGTCACATCTGGTGCACCGCCCAGGAGCATAGAGAGCAAGGAACTACTTCCCAGCATCCCAACCAATCCCGATGTGCTGAGCAACAGCAGGTGCGTTGCAAGGCTTCAAGGCGCCATGTGGCATGCAGTTTATGAGTGAGTGCCCAATATTGCCTTGATGGTGCTGGGGAGGTGCTTTCTTACCTTGGCTGATGCTGTCAAGAGGGATTGTCCGGGGGCTTATCATCATTGCGATTGTGGTGGCTCACAATCCCAGGGCTGATTACCAGGTGGCAGTGTGTGGAACTGTGATTTGGGGACAGACCAGAACATGATGGAGTGTTCGCATCCACCATGGCCTGCAAAGTGCAAGGACCTTGTCTGCCATGGCTTTTCGACAAATGCAGTCCACAGAATCGTATGGCCAGGCTGTGGCTGAGATGTGCCATTCTTGCTCTGTGTGCTGCTTTTGCTCTGCATGATGGCCTTGCCGATTTGTGATGCTATCTGCTGTTCGCGCAGTTGTTTGTCTGACTTGTGTGTGAGCGTACATTCTGCACCCCAGTAAATATTATGTACACACAGGTATGTGCTGTGTCACTGTGCTATTCCTTGGTTTGGGTCGTTGGCAAAGGCGTTCTTGCAACCTTACATTTCACTAATAGCTCAGCGATTTGAAATGGCACTCATGTTCTTCAGGTTTGGTGTTGTCATCTGTTCTCATCAGCGATCCTTTGTGTGCTTTGTGTTGCAGCACTCAAGCACCAAATGATATGGCATACACAGTGCAAGGTATTCTTGGATCAACTGTGAATTGTGCCTGTAATTGTGTCGTTTCATTATCTGTGACAGTGAACTGATAACAGTAAATATGGAGATTCGATAGACATGACATGCTTGGTAGGTTCAGAAAATGGATGGATGGATTCGATGCGGTGGGTTGGGGTGCATGCATGGGAGGCTGTGCGTCAGATGGAATAGCTGATGGGGGAGGGACATAAAAGGAAAGAGGGGGGGGGGGGGGTTTGCATACGGGTGGCAAGGATGATGTCATCCTTGGTATGTGAGCTGTCCTGGAAGGCATACAGGTGGTGATGTTTGAGTCAAGTGACATAGAGCGGACAACTGCGAATTTGCAAACCTTCATTTGCAGACCTGTGCTCTCCCACTTTGGCCAGACGTTTGTCGTCTTTCTGCAACAATGACTATTGTCATACAATGGGCATACTCTTGCTAATCATGATTTTTGCAGACTGTGCTCCTGACGATGGCGCTGGTTTAGGCGTCTCTTTGTCCCAAGAAAGGCACGCAATGTGGAGTCAGTCCTACTGCAATAATGTTGCCGGGAACTGTGATGAGCTCCCCTATTGCTTGCACTCTATGACACTGATGAGAACGATCCTCAGCTACTCACTGCACACATTTCATGTTGCCGCATATGCCACTGCAGCAAACACAGAAAACGCAGCATCCATGAACACTGACTCTGAATTGTGGTTGCAACTGAATGACGGCTGGCCATTTCCTAGTGTGACACTTGTCAGTGGCAGGTGCCCTTGAGATTCTTCTCCATTGACTCTTGGTTGCTGATTCCTTGTGCAGTCACAGGGCTTGGCTCCTCGCAAATCCTGGGCAGCGTCACAACTTGGTGTTATGTTGTGGGCATTGTCGTTGTTGTTGGCCTATATCAATTCACTAGGCAGAGGAAAGGACCGATCATTGGGCAAGGAGAGACCTCCAAGGGCACTGGGGAGCACGAGCTGTAGAACACTAGCCAGAGACACTTCAGTTGTTTGTAGATTGATTTTGGGCAGATCAGGCTGCTGATAGTGCATCGTGCAGTGCTTGGCTTGGTGAATTCAGTCTCTTGCATGTAGGGGTGCTCTGAAGATATTTGATCGATGTGCCTAGGAATGCCGGAAAGCCTCGTTTGATGGTCTAGGCGCCAGGCCATCAGTTCTGAGGGCATGCAGGAAAGTCATTTTTTAACTCATCATTCATGCAGCCTAAACGAGGTGTTGGGCAAGGGTTGTCAGTATGGTGGTGTGCCAGGAAAGCAAGGCGATTGTTCGCATTACTATGAAATATGCAACCCTTCTGCATCACAAATTTTCACCAGTACTATTTTTTCGTTGCATTCTTCCGACAGATGGTCATCGTGGGGGCTTTGCATCATGGAAACTGCTGGAATGGCGACTCGACTCAGTTTGCATGGCCCCCAAAATCGGTTTTCCGCCACAGCAACTCGTGCATTTGGGACTGCTAGATGTCACGATGTCGCATGCTAGAGACCTGAAGCTAGAGCCAGAATTTGGCGTTGGATTAATAAATGATGAATGAATGGGCCCAGAATGCTGTCTGGACCTCAGAGGCAAGCATGCGCCATGCCTGCAATGTTTGCCAGAAACACAACATCAACAGAATTGGTGCAAGTTCACAACGATGCACAGCACGTTAATTTGTCTGGTCGAAGCCCAATTAGGTTTTGCTTTGCATGGTCTTCAGGTTTGGCATCTGTCCCATAGGGAGTTCCCAATCTGAACACCAACCTCACCAGATTTTCTGACACTTTGATGTGGCAACATTCAGCAGAACCATCAAGACACCAAGCAGAAAACAGAAGTTGTGTCAGTGGGTTTGAGTTGGTACAGAACAGAGGCCTCTTTGATATGGGTCCACCAAAACCTCTTGTCACAGATAGCAATGTACACGATTTGATCGCATATGAACATGCTTTGAACACAGGAAAGAACCGTGTAGAGTGGGCAATTTTGAGTAATGGAATGAGCTGCAACCACTCTAGCAGCAACGCATCATATATGCAGAGGCACATATCACCCAACAATGTTTTGCTGTTGCCCTGGGTGCTGGGCGGTCATGACCGAATCAGGTTAAAGGAAGGGGGTGCTGTTTTCGTGGTGGTGGGGGGTGGGTGGGTGGGGCAAACAGACCCCTAAATAGTCCCATTTTTGTGGTCATCGACTATTCTGCAAACGCCCAAACTTTTGGGCGCTCACATTGTGCCGAGTTGGTGCGAGGGGTTGTGAAGTATGCATCACTCCTTCACAAGATCCCCTTTTGCCCTGGCACAACCCAGAGCAACATGTTCATGCATCCAATGTACATACACAATGAATATCTCAACTTTCTGCCAAGCCCCATATACAATATATGCACATCTCCACAGGATCTCTCAACTTTCTGCCAGGCCTACATTGCAGGAGCAAGCCCCATTTGAATACACCCAATTCGCAATGCTAGCCCAGGGCATGACATGCTGTCTCCGACTCCAAACTGCATGCCCACTTTCCCAACGGGTGATATCTGACAAGTCATGTCTCCCAGCACCAAAAATGTTGGCCTCTTTGAGCTTGTCCACCCCTGCCTGCTTATGCCACCTGTCAACCCCTGCCTGCCAGTGGTGCATGTCTACCCCGGCCTGCCGATGGCCCCTGTCTGCCCCGGCCTGCCGATGGTGCCTGTCTAACCCGGCCTGCCGATGGCACCTGTCTACCCCTCCCATGTACTGGAGCCCTGCCACCTGCTGCATGACGGGCAGCCCCACGGGCCATCTGTGGCGATGGGGTGGGCCGCATGTTCAGTTGGCTGGGTGGCTGGGAGTTCGCTGGCTGAAACAGGACATGCCAACACAACTCCATATTGGGTTTCTGAGAGAACACATAACACAACCCTGAGCATGGACAGCAGAAAGCTTGCAGTATCGCACCCGTACTGGTGTGCCTCGTTTCAAATTGATGCTTGGCATATCGCCGCTGTACTTCTTGACTTCTATTCGTGCACGGCATCATGAGCTTCAACACAACCTGGGAGGGGAAGGGTGCAGGTTGCAAAAATTTGTAAAGCAAGCATTTGCTGTGCTGCAATGTGATCTGAGCACGTTGGGATTCGCTGTTGCCATGCCATGTAAATAGAATATTGTTTTGCAAAACAAACAGCTGATTGATACGATGGACGAATTGACTGATTGGCTGGTTTATTGAATGAATTCTTGCTTCATTGGTTGAACATGACCCAGAGGCCCATTGCTCATAGTAGTCATGCTGTTGTACAGATTGCTAGCAACAAACACACAAAATTTAAGAACCATACACAGCAGTTTGCCCCTCCTCCCAAGGTTGCCACTACAGGATGAAAGACCATGCCTCACACATACAAAGATTATGAATAATTCAGAAACCCAACTTTGATGCTGAATGACCCCCTCGTAATATTCCTTGACTTGGTTTATCCAACTGAATAATGTGATCAAATCATTTACACATATCCAAACCAGGTGGGAATGCACACACGAGCTGCAGCTTCCAAGACCTCAGCACAACTGGTTTTCCTTTGGATGTTGACAAGGATATCTTCCCAAAGGAAGGGTTTCATTGGTTTCCCTAATTAGGTTTCCATCACAGAGGGAGTGGCAGGTAAATCCTTGGATGAACGTTGTGAAGCCATAACAAAATACAACGTTACAGACCAATGCACAACTCTGAACAGAACTTCACAAACTTGCACACTTCAGTCAAATCTCATCAAAACAAATGTGAGTGGCATTTGTGCGACAGCACTCGTCACCTCCTCCCTCCACCACTTCTCCAGCCTCTCCTGGAGAGTATTCCGCTCATCTGTGGGCATCGCTTTCCGCTGCAGCATGCTCTCCACCACGCTATCCAGCACCCTGTCAGGAACCGGCACTGCAGTGACCAGCTTTCGACAAGTTGGACAGGGCATCCTAGCCAGGTTCTGCTGCAGCCACTGTAACAGGCATTGGGCGCAGAAGACGTGGCCACAGCAAAGCCTGTGAGCACCCACCAGCCAATCCATACAGATGGTGCACTGCAAGTCTTCCCGAAGGTCATCGCAGAGGCCATTCACATTGATGGACCCAGGTTTGGGAGGGGTGGGCGACTGGGCTTGGTCGTGCTGAGCTGGGCAGGCCTCGCAGTCCTCAGTGTTTGGTGCCTCGCAGTCCTAGATGTTTGGTGCAAAACTTTAGATGAAGTGTTGATGGAGAAAGAAGGGGAGGGTCTTTCAGTGGCCAAGCCCTTCTTTCTATTCTACTGCTTTCTGTTTAAAACCAATCTGCAAGGAAAGTGCAAAGTACGGGCATTTCTAGCAATAAACAAAATTACCCACATACCACAGGACAATTAGCCAACTTGCCTGCATCTGGGTAAGCTGCATCCTATTGGATGAATATAGAAACTGATACCAATAATGCACAAGAGCCTGCTGATGGAGTAACACTTCCACGGTGGCAGGGCGATGAGGAGCTGAAAGCAACATCTTGGCATTGCTTCAGGAATGCCTCAAGCAAGGGCGGATGTGGGAGATGGTTCTGGACACATGGATTCTGGAAGCAATGCAGCAGTCAATAGCCCAGAGTGCAGCACGAGGATGTGCATCATCCCCAAATGCATGATAGAGAGTGCCACCACAACAAATCAACTCCCATCCATTTGTGCTTATAGGGAATGTTTGAGTGCAGGCAGGACAAAGTCATCTACGCAAATGTGGGCTTATGTTACAACAGTGCCCCAAGGTACACAATGCCGAGTATGCAAGGTCCAAGTACTGCGTTGACATCTCGTCTTGGTTGTCAAGGACACCGCTGTCCTTGAGCAAAATGGGAGGCTGACCGCCACCTCGCCTTGATATACGGATCTCAAAAATGCAGTGGGGTGCAGGAAAATGCCCAAGAGTTGGGCTGACACGAGTGAAATCATCGGCCCTCTTTTGAACTTGCCACCCGCAAGACAAGTCGACGAACTTCTAGCCCCGGGCTTCTCACCTCACCCGTGAGGTCGATCACCTCCATGCCGGCGCTCCCCACCTGCGCCTCCCACACGAAAGCGAACGGAGTCTCGCCGACAGGGCCCCCGAAGCCAACGACCTCCCCGCTGCGCACCACGCGCGCCTCCAACCTCAGCCGCGGGCCCTCAGTCCCCGCGTACGTCCCGTTCCTGGAGTCCAGGTCCAGCACCTGCAGCACCTCGCCCATCCTCACGATCACCGCCTGCTCCCGGCTGACGAGGAACAGGCCCGAGCTGCGGGTGCCGGGGTCCAGCCCGCGCTCCCAGAGCGGCTGGCCGGAGGGCAGGGCCGTGAGGCGCAGGCCGCGCCTAGTCCTCCCGAACAGGGAGGCACCCTCGGGGATGGGTACTTCCAGGCGCTCCGGGAGTTGGACGGAGGACAGCATGCCTGGCGGTTGTGCTTGCGCCGCTCCAGCCGGACGTCGGTGGGCCGATCCGGGGAGTTTTTATCCAGGGAGTTTAGTTGTGATGTGGCCGGCCGCCGCGGGGCGGTGAACAGGCTGGCGAGGGGTCAGCGCCGACGAAGCCGAGGAAGTCGCCGAAGGGAGGGCGTGAAGGGCGGCGCCTGGCTCGTGGCTGTGGCCTGGCGCACGCCCGCAACGAGGTCGGTCGGCAATTCACGAACAGCAACTTTCAGGGCAGGCACGTTGGCTGCGCTTCTGCACTGACTGTCCCGAACATCGCGTGAGCCGCGCCCATTTTGCTGCGGACGCGCAGTCGCCCGTAGTTGTTCACCCGAAAAGAGCCGGCGCGCGGCCGCAATGGCCCTCGTCAAGCGGTCCAATGGTCCAGGACTCCACTGATTAATGGTCCGTTCGATAAGGAACCGATGAAAGGAAACTCCAGGTCCCCGTTCACACGCGAATCAGCGCTTGGAGCCAGGCGCAGGATTGCCCGGGGTGACGTTCAGGCGCGCCCACCTTGTCGGCCCTGTGGTGGTCAAGCTCTCAGTTACGCTCGCGGAGGCCGGCAATCAATCGCAGCCCACTGCCCGTTGAGTAGCCGGATCAGGGCGAGGGTCTTGGCCCTTGGCAAAAAGGCCTGTCGGTGCCGAGCCTGCGGAGCTGCGGAGCTGCGGAGCTGCGGCGCTGCGCCAGCGAGGGCAGCAGGTGAGGCGACCTGTGGTGGCCTTGCGGCCTGGCGTGCCCGAAATCGAAACAAAGGCGACGGTGCCAGATATGTGGGTCATCCCTTCACAGTACTTTACGACCCACAGTTTCTGGACCCTGGCCTCTTCCTGATGGGACTCGACAGCGGCGGAGGCGACTGGTGCCCAGGGGCGTCGCTGGATTCGAAATTCAAAAAGAAGCGGTGCTGGCATTAAGATTGAGTGGATATTTCAGGCGCTGTGGGGATCCCAAACCGAATTGCCGACGTGGGGACATCCACATACACGTAATTGTCATTTGTCACTCCGCTTCGTTGCCCGACGGTGGAGCACTGTAGAAACTCAAACCTGCAGCATTGCATGGCAGCGCTGGGGCTAAAATCCGGAAAGTAGTAAAACCGTACAGGTTCCTAAAACTTCTGGAGCCCCCGAACAAAGCAGCGCTCTGGCTGGCTACAAACGTGTCTGCATTCCAAGCAACACAGGCTTCCGCCGTGATCCCACATGACCTGGTGGGGGTGTAACCTTGTATCTTTTCCCTCTTGGGGGAGGGGGGCTTGAGTACCGCCAGATTGGGGCCTCCGCCAAACGCACTTCGAACACACGTCGGAGTCCTGTGCAGCTGCTTGGCAATCATCAATCCACGTGACTCCCATGTCAGGCTGAATAGCTTTCTGACGTTTCGCTGAAGTTGCTACACGTTACGATACTACAACTCTCAACGACAGAGTGTGAGAGGGGGGGGGGGGGGAATACACATGGGGGGAAAGGATCGAACAAGTGAGTGATTTCTCCTCGTGGTGCTGCTCGTGATTTCTATGAACCTGCAGTGCTGGGCACCCTTCACTCCATCAAAGCGACGTCACTGGCACAAAACTCAAATTATAGTGCGCTGGTGCGAGGATGACCCTGGGTGGATGGTGGGCTTACCAAGCGGGCCAAAACTGGCCGTCAGCAGGCTGCAGAAAGTTCGCCCTCACAAGGCAACAATTCCTTGCATTACTGGATACCCCTCAGCGCAAACCACATACCCAGGCTAACAAAATAGGTCACTCTATGTGCAGGGGAAATTTGTACGGCCTGTGGAACAATGTACAACTACTCTACCTTGGGGGGAACGGTGCCGCAAACAGTAACGCCACTGCACAGTGCCCACACCACAAACCATCAGTGCGTCAAATCCTTAAAATGAGACGCACAATGAGGGCCCTGCATGGCGGGCTAAGCTGAGAACCTAAGCCACGTACTGACTGATAATGGTTGAAGGAAACCTGAAACCTCCTGAAATCAGTACCTAAATGGCAAGACCCACATGGTGTGCCTCGAACGCAAACTAGGCTCTACACCATGAAATTGGAGTTCTCTCCGCGTTTTCTCTCATCTGCTGGTGGCCTTGCAGCCTTACCAGCACCACTCTCTGATTCAGCAATCCCGTTTTCTGAACAGTCCAGACCACTGCGTATGATGTCCCTTATGCGTTGGGCAAAAGGGGCCAGTCTTCTACCCCTTGAATCCAAGTCTTGACTGACTTCGTAGATTTGAGTTGTGAGCATGCTGATCCGCGTCTGCAGCCTGCACATCGCATCCATCAAACATCGTGTTATCCAGGCAGCAGATACATGCAAATGGCAGCATAAAGAACTGCCAGGAGCGTGGACAAAGAGAGCAGGTATTGAGTCAGCACTACTGAAGGATAGCTAGAAGTATTGATGCAACAGGGGCAACAGAGCTCCTGCTGTGTCTGCGCTACAGCCTTGCAGGCCGGAGTTCACCAGATCAGGGTACACTTTTTTTGTTGCTCCCACTGGGTGGGACATCTGCAATCAATTGGAAAGATAGCAAACAGATGTGACTTGTGCCACAAAAGCTGTTGTTCGCCTCAGTTGGCAGCATGCTTCAAGAACAAGCCAAGAAGCACTGCCCCCAAGAAACAAATGTACCAAAATGCCAGTCTGACGGGCGCTGCGCATCTGGCTAACACCCTCAATTCCCTGTTGAAGCCATTGCACAAAGATTCGCCTGCAATGTAGCCACAGCTCACAATGCCCCCTCCTACATGTGCGAAAATGAACCTCAGCAGCACTGAACAACGCATTGCACATGTTCTACGTGCAAGGCTGCTGGGAGCGGAGTCGGGTTTAGTGAACGCTATGTAATTAAGGAATTCGTCATCATCACACAGGCAAGACAGTAGATGGAGGACACAGAAACCATCCCAAAGTGAAGCACCTTTCATTCTCCTCCTGCAGTTGTTTGCTTTGCTCTCTCAGTTGCTTGGCCTCGCCCTGGGCCAATCCACAACTAAAGGATGACACCAGAAACCCCGGCTGCCCACCCACACAAAGGCAACACAAACCATGCCCCAGCATCGCCTTACAGGGCCAATATCAGTGCTATGTCGCTCTTCAACAAAGCAATAGAAAAAGATTACACAACACAATCGTCACGTTCCCACTCCGTAAACACTACTGGCATCAAGGACAGTTTCCAGGCTGGTTGCATTGACAAGGTCCAGCGTCCCTTGCCTTCTTTTTCAACGATCATTGGTGCCATCTCTGCACCAGGAATCCAAACTTTCACGGCTAGATTACTTCGAAGGCAACATGCCAACTATGCCTGAGGTCAACGCCGCCCATTCCTGCGACAGTTCCGAGCTCTGTTGTGTTTGCAGTGGCTGACCTGGAATCAGCGTTTCGACGCACATGCGCGCCAGAATCCAAACGACAGACCAACTCCCCGCGCCCCTCCATTCTTCGCATATCTGCGAAGGGCACACAGCGCCGGCGTCCCACCTCATGGGCCTGCCTGTCGAGGAGGAGTCTCCCCGATAGCACGACGATGGCGCCCGCGAACAGCACGTTGACGATGTTGTTGCTGTTGGCTCGCCAGTGCTGGGAGAGCCAGGCCCCCCAGGACAGCCGCTTCGCTCCCGCCTTGAGGTCTGAGATGCGCTTCAGGGAGTCCTCGTGGCGCTGAATCAACTCGTCCAGCTTGGAGTCGGGGTTCATGCTGGGGGGCTGTTCCGTGAGGTCGCGTTTCAGGAAGCGTGGGGGCGTCAAAAGCGGACGGGTGGACCGGGCGGAAAAAATGTGGATGCAAACGTGCACGGGCACCCCAAAACACCCTGAAAATCTGATGGCACCGGTGTGGGTCAATGTACTGTTGCCGGGCCTCTGGGACCAGATGCTGATCGCCTGAGGGGCTGGCGCTTGGGGGCTGGGGGAGCCGCTGCGGGCCCGAGTCTTGTGTGGCTATAACGGCATGCCTGCGGATGCGCGGCCACAGCGGCCAACATTGGCAAAGCGGTAGCAATGGCTTGCAACTAGAAACAGCAGTCAGCTTGTTTCCATGTGCCAGCATGTTTGTGAAATGGAGACGGGCTCGTGAGCAACAAAATAGACTGATTTGCACAGAGCCGATGCGTGTAACTCCCATTCCTAACAACCGAAATGCTTACAGATGGGCACTGTTCCCCAATCTGGCGTAACCCCAATCCATCTCTAGATCGTTTGATCCTTTCAAGCATCATCGTAAGTTCGGCTGCTCTTTCTGCTAGTCGCCAGGTCTCGCTTGCAAAATGGGCATGGAGCACTGGGCCACGTTCTCAAATAGAGAAAGGTATTCACCAAAGAGCGGACAATTGAGACTCGGGTCATTGAAATGGACCCACGCGCTTTTCTTGGTCACACTAAAGTGTATTTTTGGATAGATAGGGGACCTCGCCGTCTGCCCATGGCCTCAGTTCCATCGAGTCGTGGCTGGAACGCCGGCACCGATCTTCTGATAGCCACCAGACTGGCCGGCCCACCCTCCCGATGAAGCAGGTTCAGAATGTCATGGACGAGCTCTGACAGCGTCACTATCTGCCGGGTGTTGTAGCCCATGTCCACCCTCAGGGCCTTGGCTTGAAACAGGTTGAGGACAGCACCAAACTGCCTGAAGCATGAAATCCATTGCTGGGCCACCTGCCAGAATGCCAAATTCCACCACTGATTATGTTGTTTTGTACATTCAGACTGCAAAGTGGGTGCCCACCAGAAAACATGGCATTTGCACGCTGACCATTTCAAGTGGAATCCAACGGGAAACAAATTTACTGTGTGAAGGCAGTGTGTCACGCGGCTGGGGAGGGATGTTGTTCTTCAGATGCAGCACACCATCGTTGCGTAAATCACTCGTTTTGCCTCGTTGCGAACTGCCCTCAAAGTGATGAGTGAACATGCCCAAACAGCAACAACATGCAACATTGGCAACACATCGATGTGATCTGCACTAGTCTATTCTGATATTTGAAGCAGGATTCTCCACCCCAAGCGCTTGCAAACTGTCAACGTTTTAATCTCACTTGCAGTGCTACTGTAATGGCAACTTCTGTATGTTCCATCAGGGACTGCCAACAACCACTGTGTCCGTGCTCCTGAACCCCCCAGATGTGACACACATTCGCATCAGCCTCCAGCACGAGCTTCATCATGGTGAGGGCTGTTGCCACGCACGTTGGCTCCCTGGTAGACAGGACGGCCCTCAGTGGTGGGGCTAGTTCGAATGCGAGGTGGCACAAGTGGCCTGCAGAATGCTGGATCATGTCCCGGCTGCCCACCATCGCCAGGTACCTATATGGCTCCTGTGGAGATAAAGGGAGTGAGAAGGAAATGAGAGGGAAACGGAAAGCGCAGTAATAGATAGAGTCATGGGCAACATAGGCAGCATCGAAAGGAGTGCAGCGTGTCTGCAAAGCTGTAGATGAAAGGCGCACACTCATTGATCCATTCGTTTACTCGTTGACCTTCTTTCTCTTTGGGTCCAACAGTAAATTGACAGCAACATTCGGAGATAACATGCTACCAAATGCCCTCCTGCAGATATCACACACATCACATCACCTGTATCAAACATGTTCGCAGGTATTCTTGGTTGACTTGTTGATTGTTTGATTTTCTGGCTCGTTGAATGTCGCGGGCAGGATAAATAATATCCCTTCTGTAGATCCAATGGTGGATGCGGATATCAGGCGCCACGGCAAATGCCCTAGGCATTCCCTGCTGTCGAGCTGCAGTGCCCAGACGACACTTGCTTGAATTCTGCATTTGTCAGTGTCAAGAAAAATGTCCCAAATCCTGGAGATGGGGTCTCCCATTTCCTCCCTCATATCCTGGTCATTGAACTTTGTGCGGGCACCATACTTTGGATATGCATATCTAGATGTGGCGCCCATGCCCAGAATATTGGCATACCCTGGTTCTGGATATGTGCATCCAGCTTTTGCAACTATTGTGTGCAGAAATTGCACGATGAAGTTTTGCAATATCAACCTGCGAGGGGATAAAGAGCGAGTGCATTGACGTGAATGTGTGATTCCGTGATGACAAAATGCAAGATCTGGCTAGATGGAAGGTGCCCTCCTGTACACCTGGTGCTCCTGAAGCCCACCCAGAAACACGGGCAACCACCTCGCGATGTCCACGTGATGCAGAGGAATCTTCCACGATACACCTGGGTGGCTCTGCGCAGCCAAGAAGTCAATGTGTCCCAAATCATACATCTTTCGAAAGTGGGTTTCGAATCTTCTGTTTCTGGCGCACCACATTCAGTTTTGTTAATTTCATGGGTATTCTAACTGCAACAGTGACCGAAAGCCCATCTTTTCTGAGCTAGAATTTTATTGCGATTATAAAAATATTCTATTTTAATTGATAAACGTTCAGTACACTTAAAAGCACCAAGTGTTGTGCCTACATTGCTCTGCAATATCTACAACAATGGTCCCTGCCTTCTGGAAAAGGTCAATAATTGTTGTTAGCTCAACAACTTCTAGTGAAAGAGGGAAATTGCGCTCAATTTGCGGTGTTTGCGCCAATTGAGGACCCCTTTCTCCTATTCTAAGATTTGAGAGGTTTCCATGCAGAATGTGAAAGAATGATCAAAATCTGCATAGAGCATGAGGGAAATTGGCCCTTAAGAAGAGTGGAGGGGCGGTGCCCTTCATCGGAGTACCTTGGGCATGGCTCAAAATTAACTCCCTGGTTTCCTGGAATGAATTCGGGCTCGAGGCTGGCTGGCTTGCGGGCCAGTACCGCCGCTTTTCTGGTGCGACATCTGAGGTCAGGTGCTCTTCCCTTTCTGAGGAAGTCCATTGGATTGGGGACGCCTTTGTCTTTGCGCAGGTCCACTCCATCCCTCAACACCACCTGAACTGCCACAGAGGCGCCGCACACAGCCTCAGCACACAGGATTCTCGACAGCGCTTGCTGGATGACCAAATATGTAGTCTTCTTATGTTCTGCGAGGGCGCAGCAATTCCGGTGTCTGCGTTGTGTAGACCAGGCTGAATTGTTGTCCTCTTTTTCGTTACCCGTGTCTTATGTGTAATTAGCCCCAGCGCGTATGCAGAGTCTGGAATCAAGACTCACCATGAATGAGGCGGCCCGTGTCGAACAAGTAAGAAAAGAAGATCAACGAGTCGCGAAATGGATACGCAAAGGCTTGATCAAACTCTGAACCAGTGATGATCAAGATTGTGGTGCAAATCGTACATGCAAATGGCAATCTACATTTCAAAGGTCAACACGAATCCCGCTGTCATCGTCATCATCATCATCATGATTTTTTACAGAAAAGGCAATGAGGTAGCCGTCAGCTTCCTATTTTGCCTGAGCAATCACCCGCTGTCACCCTTGCCTGGAGGGATGGCCATCAAGGACTTGTGCGCGTCAAGTCTGTTGTATGTGATCGGTCTCTGCCTTTGCCGTTCCCGTACTCCACACTTCTTCTTGGTTTGCGGAATGCGCCGCTGAAGCACTTCATTATCTGCAACAACCGCAGCTGGGCACGTCCGAAGCATCCGAGACTCGCCATCAGTGGCCCCGCAGTGGTGCGTTTGGGCGCGCTGGGGGTATGTCGATCTGTCCCTCTTGATGCTCTTTTCTTCTTCCATTCACGTCAATAGTGGCCCATGCCCTTGGAATCTGTCGCCTCTTTGTGCACAGCAAATTGCCCGGCCAAAGGTTAACATTTACATGTGGCCGCTAGTGGATTCACTTATTAGCAGCGCTGCCACACATTCTATCTGAGTGTTGTCCGAAATTGGGATTGAGCTGACCGAGCTCAATCCATGAACCTCTGAGGTGCAATGCCACAAAAGAAAAGCGCGTTGGGCGCTCGACTCGCTTTTTGTTGTTTGCATTCAATTGAGCCTTGCGTGACAGGCCAGACAGCATTCGTTCCGTCGGCAGCAGCAGCAGCATGCTTCCAAGTGTCCGGATTGCCGATGTCAACGGTACTCACGTTGACTTGGGTCCAGTAGACATGTTGCAGGGGTGGCTGCATGTGCAGGAACATATCTATCATGCCATATATATGTTTCTTACCTTGTCCGGCAGAGAATAGTTTCCTCCCGCTTTGCAAAAACGGACTACCTCCACAATTTTGCGCTTCTGGCCAGGCTCTGCACCACCAGAGGCAAACATTTAATAACTGCCTCAACTCCGGTTGAATCATAAAGTCAAATGTTGCACTCGGCATCTTGGCTTGAGTTACGAAATGATGTGTCCTCGTCGAAAGTACTGGTTGGGAAACGCACAGAAATTTCAAGGAAGAACTGTAGATAAATTTGTGGGCAATATGCGCACGATTTTTTTGGGAGTGGCTGTAAGCGGGGAGAAGTTCTTTGTCGCGAGAGCTATAAGAGTAAAAAGTCAAACAATTCTCTCGTGCGGGTGAAGCGAGGGCAGTCTCTGTTCCATGTTTGACCAGCCATAAGGCCACATATTATGTGTTGGTTACGGAGTCTGCGGAGTAAGCTAGTTTACGGGAGGCCCGAAGGCGGGCGGGAGAAAAATACTGGTTGGGTCTTAGTACCTGTCTACCGGCAAGGGCGGGGGTCGCCCATGGGACGATCACAATGCATTGGAAATGCAAAGTTTTGGGGCACGCGTGCTGCCCGTAGTTTCTGGCAGGGTAGTGGGACGTTTGGGGCAGCGCGCGCGCACACACCTCACTTCGTTTTCTC